GCAAGAGACCTCACTTATTTTAAGCCCACAGGAATATTCCCACCTCTACTGATTCCAAGTCTTTTTAGAAACATCATAATTGAAATAGCAGTCATTTTAGTTTAAGTCCCATATTTGGCTTTTTTTTTTTTTTTAAGTGAAAGACCAGGAGGGAAAAAAGAAACCGAAACAGAGTAACATAAAACCCAGGATAAAGAAACTATATTGCCATGGTTTTTCTAGTCCTAAAGAAAATCTCTGCTTGAGACCTTCTCCTGAAGTACTCAGAACAAGAAAATACAAGCATAGGAATGGTACTAGGTCACCAGAGAGTAAGACCTATGGAAACAGAAGCTCAGTGACCATGGTGCTTGCCAAGCAGATGAAAATGTGGACACAGCCAGGGAGGGAAAGTAAGTTAGATTCTGACAGTTTGTTGAATTTCAGAGCTCTCTAGCCAATGCAAAAGATTTCTTTTAACATTTCTGATTTTTAAAAATTGCCACTACAGTTAATCCAGAAGTAGAGTTGCAGGGCACACAGAAAATTTTCAGTGTTAAATAATTTCAACCATACCCATGTTTCAACCTGATCTTTTGTTACAGATCTGACTACTAATTAGCTCCGACACAACCATGAGTCAGGGTCAATTCTAATATGTCCTAAAATAGACAGTTTTAGAGCTGGGCAAGACTGTGGAGATCATTTAACTGCCTTGTAGGTTTGTAAACCAAAGGCAACATGCAATAAGTGGTTTTTCCAAACTTACATGGTTAGTTAGGAGTAGAGTTAAGACACTTTTGAGTTCCATAAAACCTCACCTTCCTCTACAATGTGTCTTCATTTGTAGAGACAAGTATATATTTGTACGTGTTTACAACCTATCTTTCAAATATATAACATATCTGACATTCACCATGTTCATTTTATTGTTGTTGTTCTTACCTAAAAGGTATGTGTATATTTGAATTGTAATTCTGTAATGTTAGGACTCTACCTTCTCCACCCTATGGGAAATTCCTAGTACCTGTGGTTGTATCAATATTCAGTGAGCAGCAGACAATGATGCAGAGGGGAAGAGGGTTAAGTATGGATACTAATGAAGAGTATGTCTTTTTAATTAAGGTGTGCTAGAACTAGAAATCAGCCATTTTGGTGGTGGGATCAGGGCTCTCCCTCAAAGTAATTCCCAGTCAACAGCTGTCCAGGGCATGTCAGACACTGGGTTGTCAGTAAGGAAAGGAGCTGACCCTGAGGAAGTTTTACTCTCCACCACCTACCTGGAGGTTCTTTAGAAATAACTGCCTCTGCTACTACCTTGCCTGAGGTCTTTCCTCCCATCACTTTAGGACCTAACCTGTTGACCTTACTATCCAATTATTCTCAGGGAATGCAGACAGCAGTCATTACACTGGATTCAAACCACACCCCCACTGACCTGCACAGACACCCTGGCAGCACCCTTCTTCAATGGGCCCAGGCAACATTCCTTCTTAATGAGTCAGCCTTGGGTCTGCCTGTGCCAGAGGCAACACAATCTCTAGAATGCATTCACAGGCCTCTAAGTAAGATGGCCCAAAGATGGGCCAAAACCCAAGGCCCTTATTCTATGCTTCCAAATCTGTGGGGTCAGTTCACTTCAGCTGTCTGTGTGGCTAATATTTAAGAGTGTGAAAGGCAAAGTTACAGTCTCTCTTTTGCATATTCACCAGTCCCCCAAAGAACTGTGACCAGTTCTGCGGTAGCCATGTATTTCAGTAAGTATCCTAAATGCAGGAGACAGTCCTTGCCTAGCTAGAGTGCTTTTGTGTGCCTCAGTTTCTCCTGTATTAATGTCTCCTATTTAATGTCCACAAGAATTGAATGTATATTACTATTAGCCCACATTTTATGGAAAAAATAAGTGAACAACAAAGATATTAAGAAACCTGTCTTATGTTGCCCCACTAGAAAGGACTAGAAGAAGGTTTGGAACTCTAGCAATCTAAGTTCAGAGTCAGTGTTTTTAGCTAAAATGCTATTTGTTTGATCAGAAGGTCTTCTTCAGACAGCAAAATAGCTGTTACTACCCACAGCTACCCGTTGCCCTCATTACACCAGAACAGAATCTGCTTTGTGCCCAAAGCATCATTTACCTTGATATGCCTCAAGAGCCAGTTGTTCATCATCAATGGTGGCAGAAGACACTGAGGTCCTACTTAATAAAGACCTCTGAACTTGTTACGGGAGGAAGAAGAGGGGATAATACAAAGTAGGAGAAGAAGAAGAGGTGGACAAGGAGAAGGAAAGTCATTCCTGATACGTCTTTAAACTATTCAAAGTGAGATCAGAAAAAGACAGGATAAAAAAAAGAATATCAACTGGAGAAAAATATAAGACCATGTAGTAATAAAGCCCATAAGAATGACAGAGCTGGACACAAAACCAAGTTGATCACATCAAAATAAATACATTTCACTAAATATCATTTCTTCTCAGGATCCCCCAGTCTCTCATTAAATTTTGTTAATTCTTAGAACAGCAGAAGTGGGAGATGATAAGATTATGAAACATTTTGGGATATAATATAAACATGTTTGAGGTGCCTGTGGAACAGTCCAACACAGATGTTAACCAAGCAGTTGGACATGGAAGTCTGCAGCTCAGGCTTGACCCAGAAGTAATGGGTCTTCATCTCCAGCCCTAGCCAAGATACTACACCACCTCCCTCTGCTTTTGGGATATGTCTCAGGGGAAACAAGGAGCCTCTCTTCAGTTTGTATGGTTAATTTTAAAGATTTTGAAATAAACTCTACTCAAAGATATTAGCTGATTTTGACTACTATGCATCAGATGTTGGCACATCTCTCCTCAAATGCTTGTGAGAACTAGTCACTGGAGAGGGAGATCATCCATGAATCTAGAACTTATCTTTATTCCCAGCCCAAGAATGACTGGCCATTGCTTGCTCCTGCCCTTGACCTAGTGAGCAATAAAACATGACCTATCTTACTTGCTCACCAAAGCATGCCAGAAAAAAAGGATCTGAAACTCAGTATGTCCTTTGCTCAAGTTTGCTGATTCCTTTCGGATGTCTACTTTGTAGATGACCCAAAGTGTCCAGAATGTATTATACAAATACCTGCAAATGCCATTTGTTACAGTTTGTTTCAAAATACCACTCACTAGATCTATTTTAATATAAAGTTATAGGCAACTTTCTAAAAGTTTTTATTAGTGCATTATTCTTATACATAATAGTGGGGTTCATTTTGACACGTTCATAAATTTATATAACATAATTGGCTCCATCTCAATTCCCACTACTTCCTCTTTCCCTCCCCTCCTCCCTCTCCTTTGACTTTTTTTTTCAATTGAGAATTAAAGAATAATAATCATATTTGTCAAATACTCAAGGAATAGTTCAGGACTTTAGAGAAGTAAGGTCTGGTTCTTGAATTTAAAGCTGAAGAATATAGGAAAAATAAAGTTAAAAATATGACATCCTTTTAATTTGACTTATGCCAGGGTTTTAGAATGGTCAAGGAGACTTAGTGATAAAATTCTAAATGAATTTTAAGAAACAAAAACACAGCTGAGGTTATTTTCTAATCAAAGAGTGCACGTGTTACAGGCACCCAAGCAGCTCAAAGGCAAAGCCATCATTCTGCTAGATACGGATGGGACTTAGCAACTCATTTTCCCTCTACTATCTGGATCAGTCCCCATATCCTTGCTTTATAATTGCTTTATAATGTCCTTTTCCTTTTATTGCCAAGGTCATCCCCCTTGGCTAGATGTAAAGAAGACTGAGGAGAGGAGGAAAGGAATTACAAGTCATGAATTTGACTTGTAATTTATTTTTATCTATCTATCTATCAATTTATTTTGACATGGGGTCTTGCATACTGCCCAGGCTAGCCTCAAACTTATGATCCTAGTGCCTCAGCCTCCTGACTCACAGGGATTATAGGCATGTGCCACCATACCTGGCTAAGAAAGAATTTTAAAAGGATGAATTTGAACTATATGTGAAACTGCAGCACTGTGGCAGGGACAGCCCATTTCCTTAATATACATATTAAACTATACTCTTGCCTCGGGTTGCACTTACAAACTAATTTTATACATTATAATGTAAAATGTATCAATGGACTGCCAAGCAATGCCACAGATGAAAGTAACTATCAAACAATATAAAGTACACACATACACAGAAACCCCGTTAATTGGGGAGAAGCCATCCAAATTAAGGGTCAAACAGAGTGATTAAAGAATCATCAGGAATAAAAATGGATAGTCTGTATAAATGAGGTTATCTTGAAGGAAAATGGAAAGATTTTTGTTAGGACTTACAGAAGAGAAATTTCATGTGTAAGTATGTGCGTTTTACATACACGTGCACATGTATATGTATAAAATGTGAGGAGAAGTGAAATTCAAGGCTCTATAGCCTGAGGTCTGCACTGTCTACACTGTCTTCTCCCTCCTCTGTCCTCTATAGTCCCTGCCACTCACTCAGCTATAAAGTAAAGCAGATGTTTCCCCACAAACATTTCAGTTGACCATCAACCGTCTCTCATTACTGAGTAACTTCTTGAGTCTTCATTAGTGTCTGATGCCTTCAGCTAGAGCAGAAACACTGTGGGGGCAGAAACTGTGTTTTCTTCACAGGTCTTCAAATCCATCACAACACAAGGTTCAGCCCAATAGGTGTACCAATCAGCAGTTATTAATGTGAACACACAGTAACATACAATACTCAAAGGAAAATTCATTAACTATGAGACTATTCTGATTTTAATGCACAAGATTAGAAAGGAAGAATTAATCATAGGTGTCTTTTTGCTAAATGCCTTTTAAGAAGATACTAGGACTATTGACTAGAGGTAAGGTAAAATGCAAACGTAAATGGAAGAGAGAACTTCAATAAGGAAAGCCAGATGTGGATACTGGACAGTAACATTCCCCTGAAGCAGATGCAAGAGAGACAAAGGAAAAAAATTAACATTGTTCAATAAACCTCAAATATAAAAACATACCAGTATTTCCTTGGGCATCTTCTACCTTACTTGGTGAGGGCAACAGAAAAGGTGGCCTGGTGAAGGGAGGGCCTGGAAGAGAAGGTTGCTGCTGCTGCTGCTGTTGCTGCAAAGGCATGGTTTTGAGGACCATGCGCCAGTCCACTTGGGTAATATCTGACCTTGATCGAGCATGCCCTGGCTTGAAAGTAGAAGTTTCATCCAATAAGTCATTCACAGAACGAGGTCTATCCCTTCGACGCTGACAGATATTGAAAAAATTAAAGGTGGATGCTTCCTTTTGTTCCATCCAGGAAAGATTATCTGGAGTTGTCCCTCTCTGGACCACAAACTGTTCTTTGGCAGGGAAGACATTTTGAGCTTTGGTTTCTATGAGCTTGCTCTTACAGTGGTCCCAGATCATGCCCCCCTTGCCCAGGGAGGCAACATTTCTCATAGCACCATTGTCTGTTATGTTACTGAGTACCTCATGTCCCACCAGTTCAGGGACTTCCTGAATCCCATAAACTTCTGCTTGCTGAACAGCCTTTTCTAGCTTGCTATCAAAAGTACTAAAGAAATCCTCAGTAACTTCTAATGCTGGGCTGATATCATCCACTTCCAAAGCTTCCATTTCACAGGTTCCGAGAGGCCTAGGCCTCCTAAGCTAGTTCAGGAAAGAGCTTCATGAACATTCATCCAACAAAGAGAGTTGCTTTAGCAATAGAGCTATGAAAACCACTGGAAGGAACCTTCGTTCAGTTGCCTAGAGCAGGCCAAGCTCAAGAGTGATTGATGTTTTCCTGGTCATTGAAAACATTTGCTAGCTAACAGAGGTATAGGGAGAGAGATGTTTCTTTGAGCTTATTCTTCAGTGAAATCTCTTGAAGACAACAGGTAGTGCTTGTCAAAGTAATGCAGTGGCAATTCTTGATTTCCTGGAATAAAATAAATAGGACAACATTGGTACATGGTTCAGAGTACTATAATACTATAATACTCAAATCTGCCCAATTACTTTTCAATCTTTACAACCCTTCCATGGCAGTCAAACACAAAGGGGACAACATGTACACAAAGTTCCACTGTCAGGAGGACACATCCTCCTTGCTTTGTACTAGAACTTACACAGAGCAGGATGGAATTCTTGATAAGGAGAAATGAGGCCAATAGCTTTTACTCACACAGAGAAACCTTTGAAAGCAGTTGTGAAAAGACTACCCTGGCAAAAGCTTTGATACATTGTCCTAAAATAGTAAGCAAAAGAGAGTAGCATTTCTGTGACTGGCCTCTATCATAATTAGTCTGAAAGTCGTAAATGCTTTACAAACCTTGAAAGCACTGATAATCTGCTGGGCTTAAAGGTGCAAGAGGGAAGTAGAGAAGGAAACTCTCTCTCTTTATCAAACCTGAATGTGATTGTGACTCTGGTGAGATTATATAATGTCCTATGATGACTCCAAGACTTCAGGATTCCTCCAGTCTTCTTGGGAACTGGTTTCAGGCTCCAAACTCCCTGAGGCTTCCAGGATTGGCCTCAAGAGTACAGGTCTACCCTGGGGGCGTCAATGGGTTAAGCACAGGCTTTAGTTCAGACCTCAAGCCTTGACCCCTTACAGCTCTGCCTGGGGAGAAAGAATCCTACAGGAAAACCAACTAACTCTGGGAAACACTAGGTCTCCAAGATTAGGTTAAATAGAGCAGACCTTGACAATGATGCAATCTAATACAGTAGTACTATGCACATATGGCCATTTAAGTTTAAATTTAGTAAAATCAACGTCTCTTGGTCACACTAGCCACATCTGCAAAAGTGCACAACATTTGCATATACCTGTGTACCTTTACAAAAATCAAATACATAAACAAAACAACTAGACAAAGGTTTTTCTTTCACTGTGAATAAACAAGTAGAATTAGTCAATCAGTAACACCATTACATGTTGCTGCAAAGGTAGATAGACATGCTTTCTTTCCTGAAACTTGAAAATGTTTATGGCTAATTAATTTTTAGCACTTAGGTTATTAAACAGTTACATCAATAGCACTAATCTACATTGATTAACATATGTAAATGAAACTAGAATATATAAACCTTTGTTTTAGATTTATCAAGGATATGATTCACAGAAACTAGTTAACCTCTTGTAAAGTGATAATGACTATGATGAATTTACTTTTGTATATTTTTATATGAACTGTTAGTACTTCATAAAATTTTTCTAGATACAAAGAGGTTTTGTTGTTTTCCTTTTTGTTTTTTCTTTTTTTCCCCCGAGTCTAAAGTTAAGACTTTTGAATTGAGTAACAGGGTCTTAGTATTTCTGTAATTTTGAAACTTGGAATTTTTTCAATTGCATCTTATACACCAGAGACTATGAAAAAGAAATAAACAATCAATCTTAAAACTTCTAGTTCTTTCTTTACTAGAAGTTCAAATGAATACAAAATATAAGATTCCTATTTTACAGAAGAGATACTAAGATACAGAGCATTAAGTTAATCCTAAAAGATTCCAGATACTCTTTTATTCTTTTTTTTTTTAACCTCATGTTTCAAATCCAATCTTTAAACCATGCTAGAGAGAAAATAAATACTTGCAAGGTAAGTGGGTTTTTAAAACTTTGTCAAAATATCTAGGAACACATTTTTATGCTCTCTGCTTGGGTATTCACAGGCTGGTTAGAAGCAAGTAACTGCTGATGGCCAGAACTGAGGCCTTGGAAATCTTGTATCACACATGGTAACACCACAGACTGTTAAATAGGAAGCAGCCTTGGAAATCATCCTTTCAACCCCAGCCTTTCACAGAAGAGGACACTGAGGCCCAGAGAGATTAAGAGGTCCCGTGAGTGGTATTGTATTAATTCCTAAACAGGGAAACATGTTCTCACCTCAGGTCTTTAACTATTCCCCCAAATACCAATATGGCCAACTCTCTCTTAAAGTGATTATTCATGTCTCCTTCTCAATGAGGCTTGCCCCTTGAGTATTCTATTTAAATCTAAAACATCTCCATACTGAACTCTTTTTTCCCCCCTAAGTGATGTTGAGGAGCAAATCCATATCTCTGCTAGGCAACTTCTCTACACTGAACTACATCCCCAGCTCTGCCCTGGGTTCTTGATCTCACTTACTCTGCATTTTTTTTTTTTTTTTTGCTGTTGTTGTTTTTATAAATTTTTCATCTTGGAGGAGTTTTAGATCTGCAGAATTATTACAAATATATTAGAGAGTCCTTATATACCTCACACCCAGTTTCCTTTATATAACATCTTACATAGGTATGGCGCATTTGTAACAATAAATGAACCAATAGTGACACATTAGAATTAACTAAAACCCATACTTTATTTCAATTCTCTCAATTTTACCTAATGTCTTTTTTTTTGTTCCAGAATCCTATTCAGGACAACACATGACATTTAGTTGTCATGTATCTTTAGCCTCCTCTTGGCTGTGACAGTTTCTGAGATTTTGGTTGTTTTTGAGGACCTTAACAGTTTTGAGGAAAACTGGTAAGATATCTTATAGAATGTCTGTCTTGTGGGATCTATTTGATGTTTTTCTCATGATTAGACCAGAGCTATGTTTTGGAGAGGAAGACCACAGAGTGAAGCGCCATTCTCATCATATATCATAATGACATATTATCAACATGACTATTACTACTGTTCATGTTAACCTTGATCACCTGGCTTGAGGTGCCCTTTTTCCTTAAGCATTTACCACCTTTCATCATATCACTTAATTTACTTACTTACTATTTAGTGTTTTTCTCTCCCCACAAAAACATAAGCTCTACAAGTCCAGGAATTTAAGCTCATTTTCTTCACCAAGGTATCCCAAGTATACAGAATAGTGTCTGGCACATATGTAAAGGCATTAAATAGATGACACACACTTTGTTATTCCTTTGCATGGCACTCATGACCCTTCCCGGACTATCCCCTCACCCCAGTGCCACCTCACTGTTCTACTCCTCTGTGCTTTTGTTTAGGTTGGGGAATCTTTTCTATCTCCTATTTGCCCAGGCTCTCCTGGCACTCTGGGTTTGCCATATTGTACTGAAATGATGGGACAATTTCTCTAGACCCCACTCTGAGCTCTGTGCAGGCACAATGCCTTATTCATCCTCCCACACAATCTGTTTTCATCCCTTGGGCTCCATTTTCCAAACTTCTTCATTTTGTTTTGTTTTTGCTATCAGGCATCATCTTTTCCTGGGCTCTATTGCCCTTAAATAGAGTTTAGTCTCTGTAATTGAATACCTCTTACTAGCCTGCCTCATTTGGTTTTGAATCAGCTAATAAAAAAAAAAATAACAACATATTCAGACAGGTTAAAATATTAAGTGATCCTTCCTCTGACAAAGTGAACATCAGTGTGTGGGTACAGGGTGGTGTGCATCAATGCAAAGCTGGTGGTGTGCATCAATGCAAAGGAGCCAATTGAACTGTGTTCTAAATTTGGCTCAATCAAACACTTACTGGGTAGCCTCTGGCAAACCTTTTAACCTCTGGGTGCCTAACTCAACTACCTGTTTCCAACAAAGTTGCTAATATCAAATTGCTTTGCATGTGGATCATTCACTAGGTAGCTATTCCACTATGCCTTTAAAAATGCAAATTGCAATATAAGTATGGAGCACTCCATTGGACTTCACTCAACAACCATGTGCTCTTGATTTCTCCCTAGATTCATCTGCCTGAAGAAGCAAAGTCAGCAACTGGCTTCTTATAGAACACTACTTCTCAGCCAAATCAGTGACCTATAGATATTTTATCTTATATTTATATAGAATACCCTTTCTATAAAGGGAAATATATCTCCTGTTTAACATAGTTGAGAAACAGGTCCATCTGTCAACACAGTAATAAAAGAGCTCAACCCCAAGAATCCCATGCATATATCAAAATGTAACAGCATAGGAAATCAGCTTATTGCTATTTTCTAACAAGACAATCTTCCTTACATGTTCAGAAGGCATGGCTAATTAACAGGATGAATACAGCAGCCCTCCCACACAGAGGTGGAGCAGACAGCCCTCCCACACAGAAATGCCATGTTCTCCTGAGCTCACTGGCAAAAGTGCTGACTTCTTTCCTTGACCAAATGACTTGTAATCAGAATTTAATGAATGCTGGAGGTATCTGAGGCCATGTAGTTTTAGAAGCAGCTGGACTGGGCAGAAAAAAGCAGTGCCAAAATACCTATGATAACTTGTTTCTGCTAATCCATTTTCAAAAATTAGAACAAAGGGTGGTCACAGGGCAGTCAGCACTCATGGTTCTCACATTCTTTACTTCGTTTAAGGTTGTGGTTGACTAAGAAATTTCTGAGATGCATAACATGATGGACCCACCAAAAGAGGATCTGACTATAGTAACATGACCTCTTTGGACCATGAAGTTATGATTTTTCATGGTGTTTTGTCATAAACACAATGTAAGTATACTGATGGTGCACAGCCATGCCACAAGCAGATTAGGAAGTGGTGCTGGAGCAGACCTCATATAAAGAGCTCAGGGGGCTTTCAGATGAGACGGACAACTAGAAACACAGATGGAATCCCACTTTTATACATTTAGAGGAAACACTAAATGGCTGTAGTGTATTCAAATTCCAACAAATGATAAGACTATTGCTATGCTATGAGATGAACATCCCATTCATTCAAATAATTTATATAGTGTTTTTTTCCTGTTCTAAAGGTAATAAGTACTCATAGAAATTCTGGAAAATTCTGACAAATATGGAAAAGAAAAATCAGTCATAATATCATGACTCAGGGAAAGCAAACTAACAGCCATTTTTTAGCCAGTATTAAATTGGAATCAAGATTACATATATAGTTTGGTCACACTGTCTCTTTAAATACATGCTCCAAAAGTGAACAGCAAGAAATGCTAATGAAAAAGAAGAGGAGAAAGAAGAA